GAAATGGGTCAGTGCAATGAATGAGGAGATGTAATCACTAAGAGAAAAAAACACATTTACCTTAACCACTTTGCCCGAGGGCAATAAGTCAGTGGGCAGTAGATGGGTGTACGCAGTCAAAAACAGTGTTGACGGATCTGAGAAGTACAAGGCACGTTATGTTGCTAAAGGATACAGTCAGAAGATGGGCGTGGATTATGAAGAAACGATTTTCCCTACTGCTAACCTGACTAGTATCAGAGTGTTGATGAAAAAGGCAGCACAAGAAAACATGCTTTTACATCAGATGGATGTTAAAGCTGCCTATCTACACACACCAATAGATTATGAGGTATTCATGGAACAACCTGAGGGTTATGACGTGAAATCTGACATAAATGAAAAATGGGTGTATAAGTTGAATATGTCGCTACATGGGCTGAAACAATAAGCCAGAAATTGGAACAAGGTGTTGCATGAATATCTGGGTGAGAACTACTTTGTCCAAAATCCTGCTGACCATTGTGTTTACACAAAGATGACAGTACGTAAGGTGATTTTGATAATATGGGTAGATGACCTGATCATTGCTGCTAGTGAAGAAAGTGAACTAACTGTTGTGAAGGAAATGGTTGGAGCAAAATTCAAAATGAAGGATTTGGGTAAACTGAGACATTTCATTGGAATAGATTTTGACCAGAGTGATAATTGAAACAATATGTGGAAAACATAGTTGAGAGGTTCAACATGCATGATTGTAAAGAAAGACTGACACCTTGTGAGCAAAATCTGAACTACACTGATGGTGCAGGAAAGATAAAAGATCTCAAAGGGTACAGAGAGGCAGCTGGTAGTCTGATCTATTTGGCTACATGCACAAGACCAGACTTGAGTTTTATAGTCAGTAAACAGTCACAGTATTTTACCGAGCCAACTGAAGATCAATGGACTACAGTAAAACATGTACTGAGATATCTGAAAGGGAAATACGAAAAAGAACTGTTACAGAGAATATGACAATGAAGAACTGAGGTTGTGGTCATACAGTGATGCTTATTGGGCAGCTGATGTAACAGACAGGGGTAGTGCAACTGGTTATTGTATAAGTCTGGCTGTAAATGGTCCTTTGATTTCATGGAAAACCAAAAGGCAACATACTGTTGCATTATCTACCTGCGAAGCTGAGTACATGGTTTTAGCTGCAACCCTACAGGAGTGTTTGTACCTGATGCAACTGTTATAAGGTATTGATGGACAACAATATGCACTGCCAAACGTTTATGAAGATAACCAGGGTGCAATTGAGTTGGCTAAGAACCCTGTAATGAGACAGAGATGTTGACATAAAGTATGACTTTGTAACTGTGAGTGAAGGAAAAGTAACTCTGGATTATTGTTCAAAGGAAGAGGTCACGTATATATATACACATGACAAAACCTGCAACAAAAGTTAAGCTGTTTAAGTTTGAAAAGGTTATGTTTGGACATTAACCAGGTATACGGACATGTATACAGAACCGGGTGAGAAACCCTATATGTTTTTGTTAATTAGGAGAGTTATAATATGAGAGCAAGTAGGGATGTTGACATGAAGAAAGAAAATTCTCTCAATTATGGAAACAGCTAGAGGGTTTATTTATGTTTGATTTACATGTGTGTGGCTGTTAATAAAGTTGGCGCTCTCTCGGAGGCGTGCTCGTTTATCCAAAGTGGCCGAAGGCTGATGTGTGTTTAATCCTCCCTAAGTATAGTTGGTGCAGTTTACCATGTATGTCAGATTTCCTTGCCCATTTTCATATTTCTGCTAACAGACCTTCATATTAATGATGCACTTCCACTCCACTTTAGCGTCTTCAAGCAGGTGAAGTTTGGTTTTGAAGGGCAGCTGGACAGACTCCACCTCTGAATTGACCTTCACCTGGTGGACTGAGAGGACAACAAAGCACAACATGATGTTGGATGGAGACATTTTTCTTTGTCATGCTAGCAAAGAAAACAATGAGAAAAGTTTGATCTGTAGCTACAACACTGACCTCTGACTTTCAGCTCAAGTTGTTTCTTCATCAAGACTTCTCCCTCCCTGCTATAGACGGTGCAGGTGTAGGTGGAGTTGTCTCCATCTGTGGGGTATTTCAGGGTCAGACTGAGGTCTCCAGTTTTCAGCAGGTCTTCATTCATCTTTGTTCGGTCTCTGTAAACCTGGTGCTGTTCTTCAGGCTGGTCAAAGCCGTTCTCATGTACGTGGACCTTCCTGTTCTCTCTGTCCATCCACTCCACTGTACTCTCTTTAGGCAGTTGAATTATGGAGACTGGCAGCTTGACTGACTCCATTTCTGGATCCACTTCCACCTGATGGACTGAGACAAAGGGGGAGGACTTTCTTTAAGAAGAGCAGGATTAATATTTTCCCTGCAACAGTAAAAGTCAGTTATGAAAGTGCCATTCTCACATTTCCCATCATGAAACAATCATTATGTTAATTAATAGTTATAATAGAGTATTATGAGAAAAGTGACAAACTCTGCCTCTGTCCTCTCTGACATGTTCCAACTTGTCAACTTGTCTCTCATTTAAGTCTCTTATCTTAGTTCACCCTCTAATCTGTCACCCTTCCTGTCTTGACTCAGATCTGTATTGTGGTTCTGTCTTTTTCTTCATTGTCTGTCTGCTTCATTGGACCAAAAACATGTGTACTGAATCCAGTTTTACAACAGTAAATACTGAGCTCCTACTTGGTTTTGAAGTCTGACATTTGGTCCTTATTCTGTAGTGTACCTTTAATTAGAGAGAGTAGAAGGACTGCACGTATTTTCTGCAGTTATGAGTCCTCTCCAAGTGTTATTGCAGAGTCAAATGTGTTTTTATTTCTCTGAGTGTCTGCCCTTGAAGGGAACCCTGGCTATTAAGACATATTTGCGCTAAAATATGCACTGTGCTTTCAATAACATATATGTGGTATTAAAATACCCCAAATGTTTTCCTTTTATATAAAACCAATTTACCAGTAGGCCGGCATTGTTATTTACCTCTTAATGCACTCTGGGTAGTGACCCATATGGTTGCACCGCATCGAGTTCACAGTTAGCACCAGCTTCTATTCAACCTTTCCAGTTTGAACCAGAGCAATCCGAGAGAGAGAATGAAAATAGTCAACCAGTACTTAGTATAGATGAAGATGAAAACAATCCGTCACACGAGGACACGAGAGTGAGGGAAAACTACTGGTGTCTATGCGGCTACTGCTTGCCAATGTTGTGCCAAAATGTATCTCTGACAGAATTTGTTTTCCCTGCTTTGGGACCTTCGTACAACATCGGATGGGATTATTTAAATAAACCAGTAACTGTCACGGTTTGCGGGACAAGCCGTGTGGATTTGTAGTAAGGACCCAAAAGGCGGCAGCTCTGGTGCAGGTGAGTGTTTATTTACAGCAGTGGGTACAAACAGCAACGGGGTGTGAACATGAAACCGAAAACCTAAACTGGGTAAACTAACAACACAAACCAGGAATGACGG